CCCCAAAACCCCAAAACCCCAAAACCCCATATGCTAGAGTAGGTATAAAAGAAAATTGAAAGTAAAATTTTTAAGAAATCAATTATTTACAATTCTAAACTAATTAGTTTGTTTGGTAGTACTTTCCGAATAAATTTAAATCACAATTGGTTAACATCTCTGCTAATCTCATTAATTATTTGATGATTATATTGAATATCAATATGCTTCACCTTTGCTTTATTATAAATCTTTCTCTAATCTTTATCTTCTTCCGCTCTTGGGTTTATTTTTAGAGCCCTTAGGTCTGCCTCTTTTCCTGCTAGGGAAGTTATCGCCCTTTAATAAAAGCTACTTCTAGCTAGTCATCTATGAGTGATCAGCATTTTTATATCTCTCATAATCAGGTATTAATATCAAATCCTTGATCTAATATAAATTGTTACCAGCTTCTCCAGATTTTGATTGGTTACAAATCATACTTGTATGCTAATTTTAATTATCTCTGTCATCTAGGCTATCCCCACCTGAATTTAAAATCAATTCCTAAGCATTTTCTTGAATAGGCTATAATCCATGATTTTCTTCTTTTTCAGTATCATCTGTTTTTTCAATATGCTATTGATTTTATTAAAAAGATTTTTTTCCACTTGAGATTTTTCCTTATGATGATATTTTCTCAATTTATTTATTTAATGTGGTGTTTGTCGTTATGATTTGATGATCATTACTAATATTTAATAGATTTTTCTAAGTAAGATCATCATCTTGATCGTCAATAAAAATTTATTGCTGATTATTTGGAAGCATTTAAAGCTATTACTATTGCTCTAAAAATGCTTTATTTTTTTGTATTTTTTCTAACTCTGCTAATTTGCTAATTTGCTTTAATATCCTTCTATTTCCCAATTCTTATTATTCATTACTGACACAATATCCCTATTATTAAGTAACTGGCTCATAAATTGCTTATTTATAAGGAGCTTAATGAGGCTGCATATAAGGAATTTATTGATTTGAAGCCTAATAAAGGAAAGGATCCATATTTATAAATTGCTAGTTGTCGGGGATATGATAAAGTTATCGAGGCATCATAGCGTTTTAGGTAAAAAATGGATCCATCATAAAATACTATTGATACTGATCATGTGGGGGCATAGGATGAGGTTGATTCATTTATTGATTGATTGGATGGCCAAATGGAATTACATAATTATTTTGAGGGTTAAAGTTGGGATCATACATTCTTATCTACTGCTAATTTTAGCCATTTTAGATGTTCAAAATCAGATTCTGCTGTGTTTGTTGGATATTATTATTAAATTATGATGATGGTGGTATGATTTAAGGAATCGCATTGGGTTATAAGCCTAATGTCTATTAAGGTGCTGGTAAATTTTATCTTTGCTTTGCATGAAGAGACTTATACGCTTTCTTCTAGATTTAAATTAACTTCTCTCTAAATAAAAGTTAGTTATGGACTTTTTTTATACCTTATTAGGTCGTAATTTGGTTCATCAGCATATTTAAGACTCACAAGATGCTAGTGAATTTCTTTGATCTAAGGATGTTTTTAACCAATCTTTGGATATAAATGCAAATCAGGCCTCTTAAAAGCTTCTATTTTCATCTCTTTGACTTTATCTTTATTACTGCCTAATTATTGTTTGAATGTTATGGTCAAAAATATTACAGGTTTTCCAGACGAGTTGTTCATCAAGGAATTCCAGCATCATATAAAAAAAGCACCACAAATCATCTCTTCGAGATAACTCCTTCTTTAAATGAGCATTAATACTGGCATATGGAATGGTTCCTCTAAAATCAGTATTTCTCCTCTGATCATATGGTTTTCCAGATTATGGGTCTAAATGTTCCTTCGCCAATCCAAAATCAACCAAAAAGACTTTATTTTTCTCCTCTGGCTTGAAACCCATGACAAAATTAGACTAAGATGGCAGTTTAAATTAATATTGAATTAGGATGATTTATTAAAAACTTACAGGTTTGATATCCCGATGAATAATTCCTTCATGATGGATAAATTAAATAGCTGTGAGAACTTGCTAGAGAATATCAATCGCTTAGTACTCATTCTTAATATTATTGTTTTTTTTGTAGCTTGCTAAACTTATGCCTTTTAAATCCATCACTATGAAGTTTTCTAACTAAATATCCTCTTAATTCTCAAAATCGTATGTTTTCACAATATGTGGAATGTCTAGATTTGTTATTTAACCAAGTATTTGTTTACTTTGTAGTCTCTTTAGGAAGGAGTATTCATTTTAAAGTATCTTTCTTGCCTTATCCTTTTTCTCCATTTTTAATGCAACATCTCTTTGAGCGTATATATCAAATGCTTAATAAATCACACCTAAAAATTTGATCAATTTTTTCAATAATTTACTGAATGAGCCTTATCCTAGTTCACTATGTAGAATATAACGCTATTTCACAATGCTTTAAGCCTGCTAAGATTCACTGTGAGTGCTAACCAAACTAGAGCCATTCATATTTATATTTGTCTACATTCCAATTGGAGCTCCGCCATATTAGTTATAATATTAAGCAGGATTTATTTAAGCAGCGCAACTAGATAGTCCATTCACTTTTTGTTGCCCCATAAATAAGTCTTAGTGAGGGTCTTATGGAGTGACATTAGGCAAATAATTAGCCCATTGCTATTGAATAGGTTATTAGTTGCCCATAAGGCCTATTTGTGATGGTTGCTAAGCAAAAATCATTTATTGCTACGGGTGGTGAATCATTGATCTATTTTGATTTAATTGTGATAATATGAGTTGGCAATTTGGTAGACTTGTGCAAAAGTCTTCAGGAAATTTAGCGCCTTTTGAGGAAAATTACACTTTCTAAATCTGCACTTTGAAATTATAATCTCTAGATATTAATCAAACTTCAAATATCTTAAATTACTACTCTGCGTATTACCCTAACAACTTCATAATATACATCATGGGGTTTTGGGGTTTTGGGGTTTTGGGG